CATGCTGAGCTAGTCTCATCTAGGGCTTTGCACTCAGCATAAATGTTACAAAGAGAGTGCTGCTTCTCTAAACATCTGTGCTACAATCAATGAGATGAGCATGGGGGGTGCCGCGATAAAGAAAAAACATTTTCTGCTCTTGTGAGGAAGCTCAACTGTGAAGAGGCATTGCATCATGAGCTCTAATGAAAGACCAGCTATTCCCCTTGGGAAAATGAAAGCACTTGCCTCATTTCCCTCTTACTGGCAGCTGTTGCTTAGGAATTGTGTTTGGGAATGAAATGCTGCTTTGGTTGACTTGAGAAGCGGCTTTAATACAAATGGCTGCCAGTGGTGTGCACTGTAAGTGTTGTGAAGGACAGAAAAAATTTCTTAAAAATTAATAGCTCAGACTAGAAAATTAGTGGTTTAGACCCAAATATATAATTTGCATGAGTTCTGATGTGTTCCACTGCGTCCTTGAGACCAGTTTTTGTTTTTCCCATCTGTGCTGGTCTGAGGAAGTGGCAAGATCACATTAGCATCAGGGAGTGGAAGGAGACCAGGAGCTCTGATGAGGAAAACATTTAATTGGGCTGGGAGGAGAAACAGGTGTTGATGTGGCAGACGTTACTGAGAATATAGCTTGGTTACGTGATGGAAGAGAACCTAGCTCAGGTTCTATTCTATATATTTTATTTAATTTTACAAAAAATAGCATGGAATTGTTTGTGCATTGTTTTATAGAGAAAGTTCCTTTTTTCGAGCATTAGCACCCAGAAGTGATATTGTTAAGCCTGGCAACATCTAGGTCTTGGTTGATGGAAGAAGACGCAGTGTGAGCTGCTCTGCTGGTTGTGCTCATGCTTCACTCTGCTGCTATGACATACACAAGGATCCGTGGTTAGGAAACTCATCAGCAGGCCTGACTTTTGAAGAAAGGCAGTTTCCCAATTCCCTGCACTGTTGTGGGGTGTGTGCTGGGTGTCTTGTAGGGAGCCAGAGATGAATCAGCCTGGAGATGAATCATGCTCCCCTTGTGCCTGGGCAGTGCACTGGCTTTGAGAAGCTGTGCCCGGTCTCACCTCCAAAATGCTCTTGTTCCTTTGTTTGAAACAGCTGCCTTTGGAGCAATTGCTTTCCCTGAGCAGGTGTGGCATCAACCATTTGGTAGCCATTTCAAGAGCAGGATGTCAGAAGCACATTGTAAAGCATGGTAGAGATGAATGAAGTTCATTGGATGACTCAAGGTCTTCACAGGTAATAAATTTACCTGCTGAGATAACCAGGTGGAATTTGATCTGTTAGGCAGGAGCAGAGTTAGCAGGGGACAGCTTTTCTTTTAATGGGTCCTGTTATGAAGCACCTGCTATTTCCTGTGGGAAATGAGTTTGTCAAGTCTTCTTCAACCCCCCTAAGGATGCTGGTCAAAGAAGACTTACTTATTTTAACTTCTAATGTGGCTAGCAAAGCTGTATGGCAAAATTTAGGTACCATTGTATGCTGAGAGCAATTCAGCCCCAGGAAAGTTGGAGGCGGGGGGGAAGCCAGGGAAAAAAACCCTGTATAACAGCTTGTTAGCTTCTCTTTGCATGTTGGCTAAGTATAATTAGGAAAATTAAAAAATACAGGTGCCTGAAATCTGTGTATTCTGCTTAATGACATTCAGTGAGAGCAGCTGACCCAGTGAATCATGGTGGGCTGAGGTTTTCTTGTTCATAATAAACCCAGTGAGTTGCTCCTTTGTTGGTTTTCTGTTGGCGGCAGTCATGTGGGATTTAGTGTCTCTGCAGTTTGTGTGACAGCAATGTGATTCTCTCCAAGTCCTGGTGTGTAGCTGGTGAGGAGGTTTTGTTTGCTTGATTGAAGTTGTACCCTGATGAATGAGTAGTTGGAGTGTTCTGAGCTTTTTGTTTGGGTGCAGGCTGGTATCAGCAGATTAATTCATGAAGATCTTGGTCTTAGGTTTCCAGTGGCATCGAGTTACTGCCTCTCCTGGGACACATCTTCACTTTTCACTGCCTCTGGTCTTGATAGTGAAAGATGGAGGAGAAGGGTAAAAATGACTGTAAACAGCATTTCTGCCTATGATGTATTTTATTTTTATTGAATGATTTTGGGTCCCTTTGTCTGATTTAATCCCAGTAGTCCTCTTTGTATTCAGTTCAGAGATTTGCTATGAACTATATGCTGTTGAAGTTAATTAAGGCCCAGGCTTTGGTTGTTTAGGAAATGAGTTAGAGGTACATTTGTTGGCAATGCTCACTACAAAAGGAGGTAATCCCCGCTTCTGCGTAAACACACAGATGTGTTTTTGTGGCCTTAATTAAGCTTTGCCAAAATTGTCTGGCCTCCAGTGCAAGAAGGGAGAAATTCCTGTGGTATGTTCAAGTGTGGAATCATGTGTAACTCATTTGATGGATGACAGCTGCCCCAGTGATGCCCTGTGGCCCTCAGCTCTGTGGTGGAGCTGCCCCTGGGAAGGCTGACTAGGAGAGCATCACCAGGGCAGTCTGTGGGAATCAGCTGGCTTGGGTGCTGCGCTTGGATTTTGCTTGTCATGCAAAATCTGCTTCCATGGCAGTCCCCAGGATTAGAGTGATCTCGTGGGCTGGTGTCTTTTCTAACCAGATCAAACTTCTGTAATTTTGGGAGAGCAGTATGAAAACTCTCCTATGTGAAAATAGGAGAAAGTTTCGTGCAGTCTGTTCATACCCACCAATTCACCAAGGTTTTTTTTCCTTGTCCTTTTTTTTCTTCTTAATAATGCATGCAGATAATTTCCTAGACGTCAGCCTTGTGAACTTTACCCTGTGCCATTGCCATTAAAGGCAATAGGGTCTTTTTGTCATCTACAGTTATTAAAGGTATTTTTTGTGAAGTTAAACTTTGAGGTGCACAGAAGTAAGTGCAGAGTGGTTGTTTATTTTTTTTTTAACAAAGGTTGATATTTCAACATAGGAAAGGTGAGTTTTTTCCCTCTTTCCTAGTTAGTGATTTTTGCTTAATAAAAGCAGATGTTGTGGGTGACTTCAGTAATCACGGTGACAGTTCCAACAGGGTAGGTACCTGCTTGAACAATCAGAAATGAATTAATAATAAGCATTAAAGCTGAGGTGTCTGGTATTGGAATTTCAGTATCCATATTGTTAGTAGATTGGAGAGGTATGAATGCTTGTCTCTGAGGTGAGTCTTGGCTGGTATCCATGTGAAGAAGTTTGTCTGCACTTACACTGACAGGGAATGTTGCAAGTTAAAGCTTGGGTTCTTGAAATGTGTCACATAGATGTCAGATAGAGGCTTGCAGACTGTTTCCTGTCCCTTTAGTATCCACTTCTTTTCCTTTGTGCCTCTTCTGTTTGCCCCCAGATTGAACACTATAAAGCTGAAAGAGCCTTTGAGGAGATGAAGTGGGCAGTTTAAATTGAGCTGTCTTTCTTTATAGTTTGGGGCAGATGGAAAACAGAAGGGCAAGAAGGCTTCATTTCTCTTGAGAGAATAGAGACTTGAATTCTGAAAACGTTCAGTAATTGGGTATTTGTAATTTAGTAGGTGGGGTCTGGCAGCTGTTCAAAATGCTACACAATCTTAAATTGTGCTTAAGGAACTAATGGCAGAGTTGTCATTCACTGGTGTTCCTTTTTTGCCTCAGTTTCCTGATCTTGAAATAAAGGTATGTTCTCAGTGTTATGCAGGAAATCAGTATCTCAGCCCAGATCAGAATTCAAGGTTTCTGGCTTCAAGTTCTCCATTCAGACCACACCTTTCTTTTTATAGCCATGGGAAAAAAGTCTGCTCCAGCATGTCATTTAGTGAAATGCCATATAGAAAAAGCAAAACTAAGCCTAAAAGAGCTAAAAATAGTTGATTTTAAATTAGGAGACAGAAAAAGTTCAGGAGATTCTTTCTGGCAAGTGGAACCTTACAATGCCACAGCAGATGTGCTCATCTTTGGGGTAGTGTCTGGCAAACTGAAGTGCCTGCAAAGATGTGTGCTGAGTTGTGCTGAGTGGGGTTCTGAACAGGCCACTGGTCAGGGAAGCCCTTCCTCAGGATACCTTACACTGGAATGTGTCTGGGAGGACTGGTGGAACTGGGACTTGGTTTGTCTGTAGAGTGAATGTGCTCAGGTGTTCTCTGAAAGCATCGAGGCTCTTCAAAGCTTCTCCCTTTTCTAATTGAAGCCTTAAATCATCAAAGCTGAGAGCTGAAACTCTTTCATACTATATATGGCATTTGTGCTAGTGGTAGAAACTGGAGTGTATTTATAACACTGGTTTGCTGCTGCGGGAATACAGATTGGGAACAAATGTTTGTTTGGAAAAAATCCAATTCCAGGGTATTCTTTTACTGCCACACGTGAAATCCACAGCAACCTTGTAAAAGCAACAGTTGAAAAATCTTAATAGGGCCTCCCCCATGGAAAAAAACCCCCATGCAATTGGTGTAACATTATGTATCTGGAGAGTTACTTGTGATGGTTTGTGCAGTAGGCAGTGACCCTGTATGTAACATCCTGTCTGTCACATTGCAATGCTGGGATGCTGTCGTGTTGTTGCCACACACTGGGATTGTTGGGGTTTCTTGCTAGGACGTACTGCTCTTTTCAGATGTGCTCCTGGTTTGTTCAGAAATACCTATTTGTGCCCCAGGTAATAGTTAATGAAAATTTTAAGTGTTCTTTACAGGATGGCATAGCATTGACATGAGAAGATCAAGCCATAAGCTGAGCTGAGCTCTCTTGCATACTGCTGAAAACATCTGAAGGAAAACAGTTGGCAACAAAAGGGCTCAGGTGTCTTTGGGTGTGTTGATTAAACTATCCCCCTGCCATCTCCCTTCAGTCCCAGTGTTCTGTTGGATTTGCTTCATGTGTTAATCCTTTCTGTTGCTGCACAGCTATTACTGTTATGTTGAGCCTCTGTGGAATAATTACCATTTGGACTAAGAATGTTTGTATCCAGAATCATAAAATAATTTATTTTATACTGTGTTTTAAAAGTAATGTCTTGTTTTTGAAGGATGTTCAGAAGGAGAGAGAACCTCATGTTTATCTCAGCAAAGAAGAAGTTAAAGAGAAGATACAAAGCTATAATTCATCTGTCACTGATAAATTAAAGATGACCTTGGTAAGTTTTGCATACAATTCCTGTAATTTTTAATGTTGAGTTGTAGCTTTGTAGTGCATTGTGAATTGTTTTATTCTCAGCGTCTTACATATGAAACTCTCTCTGTTTAGATGGTTTTCTAAGAGACTCTTCCTTAGACTGACGAATTAAAATCTCATGTCTGGAATGCTTTTTATCCCTGTAGCTCTTTTACATGGATCAGAACAAAGTGTTGTAAAAACAAACTGATGTACCTGTGTTTGAGGTAAACTGTCAGCTGACACTAAGCTGTACATTTGTCAAAATTTTCTTACCAATTCTGAAAATGCTCAGATGGTAAAAATGAAGGTTTTTTTTCTTGTTTTTTTGCAGATAAATTTTTGTCAGATTTCTTTGATAAGGATGCTCAAGCAGTGATAAAAGTTAAAACATGCAATATTTATTACAGGATACTTAACTTTCAGAGTAGTCATACAAGTTTTCAGCATGAAGAGACTTTCTTCCCCCAAAAACATAGAAATTACAGACTGGAATACATAAGACTTCTCATTTCAAAGGATTGTGAACCAGGTTTAATATTCAGTTGGGTCTACTCAAGTCCATACTAACAAAATTCACATCTATCTGCTTAGCAATCTGTTATAAAGTTGTTAGGCTGTCCAGATTTTCTAATACATTACATATTCCTGTGGGTGTATATGGAAATTGTGAAATTCCATTATATCCTAAACCATATAAGTATGACTGTGTACTAAAAAGATCTTTGTTATGTGTTTGCATGTGGATCAGGACTTACTATGCCCAAAACGAGATTGTCAAAATTTTTCTAGCTCAATAAGGTTTGATTGACTTTGCTGTTTTGTCTTTCAAGAGCAACTGAAATAAACATTTTCAGATGTTACTTGGATTGGCATTTATTCTGGGGTTTTTTGTTGTTTATTGATTTTTTTTTTGTTTGAGTTTTTGGGATTTTTGTTTGATTGTTTGAGTTTTGGGGGTTTTGTTTGTTTTTTTGTTTATTTTCTTGTGAGTTTTTTGGGGTTTGTTTTTTTCTGTTGGTTAGGGCTTTTTTCAACATGGTTTGACCATTTAAATGCCTCAGACTAAGTTGACGAAACACCTAAAATGTGGGAGGTAATTTCTGTATTTCTGCACAAAATCTGTTGCTAAAGATGGTATTAGTGATCTTTTTCACTTCATAGTCCTCTCCTGAAGTGAAAACTTATCTCTGGTATGTTGTACCTTTTGCTTGATGAATCCTAATATACTTAGAATTCAACAGTTATTGTTAAGAAAAAATTAATACTCAGTAGTTATTAATAAGAGAAATTTCTATTCAGAAAGAATCACTGTCTGAATTATGAAAGCAATGTCTTTCCTGTGATCTGTCGTGTGTTGCAGTGGTATTTAAACAGTGCTCACTGTGAGCATGTTCGTGTGCCTGCTGCACTGCTGTGTCCCAGGGGTCACTGCTGATGATTTTAACAGTCCAGGCCTTTCCTTGGTTGCAGAACGCCAATGGGATCTACACTGGCTTCATCAAGGTGCAGATGGAGTTGTGCAGACCCATCACTGTGCAGTCCTCCCAGAGGCAGGGCAGGTGTGCTCCCAGCAGCCAGGAAACTGCTTTCTACCTGCCAGAGGGCTGTGTGAACACCCTCCACATCAGCAGCACCAACACTGTGCGGGAGGTGATCGAGGCCTTGCTCAAGAAGTTCTTTGTGGCTGACAACCCTGCCAAGTTTGCACTTTATAAACGCTGTCACAAGGAAGATCAAGGTATAAACTGAGCCTGAGGCATTTTGGTAATGGGAGGGTTTGGGTAGGGAGTTGTGCTATAGTAATGCTTGAAATTAGCAAGGTGGAAGAAGTCAGATAAATGGGGTAACAGTCTTCCTACCTTGTCTTTTTTTCCATATATAAAGTAGCATGGCAGGACTGTAAAAGACTTGGGGGTATTTCAGGATAATTCATCCAAGACAAAGTCACCTACTAAAACATTACACAGATCTCCTGTGCTTTGCAGTCAATTTTATTTTATTTCTTGCCCTTGTCAGGTCCTAAATTTCAGCTGGTCTGATACACTGCAGAGCTGTGAGATGAAGTTACAGGCCAGGTTTTCAAACAGATAAGCCATGGTGTCTGTGAAGCATGAGGCACTGGCAGGCCGCTCTCGAGGTGACAGCCATGGGCACGTGTCTTGTTGCTCACGTGTTAGTGCTCACGTGGCTGGCCCTGGGCACTGGCTGCTGTTAGGAGTTTGTTGCAAGTTGTGATGGGAATACCAGAAGATGGAAAAGGGGGTTTTTTAGGGAAAGGTGCATTTTTCCAGTGTTGTGTTCTAGCACTTAGAATCTGCCTTCCTTCCATGGATATTGAGAGCAGTTTCAGTAGTTCAGATGTTTCTGACTCTCAGATAAGCAGAGTTGTCTTTTAGACTTCGTGTGTGAAATTTTAAGTGGAAAACTTAAATCAGAGCAGTGATACAAGCTCTGATGTCATAAATGCTTAGATAGAGCAACGGATCTGTGTGTTGTGGTTTTTTCTTATGGGTTATTTTTCCCCCCTGCCTTGCATGTACTGTGTTGACAGGAGGCCATTTCATTCCTGTGCAAATGCAGTGTTGTACTGTCACCATCAATCACCTGCTCAGCTCCTCCCTAAAACTCACTGCTCAAAACCAGTATGTAGACTGATAGATAAACAGTGTGTAAATTTTAGCTACACATGCATCTTTCTGAAATTTTTGTAGCATTAGCTAGCATTAGTCATTCCAAGTGTTGGAATCGTTGTTGGTAAAGATGCTAATGACTGTGGTGTCCTTCTCCTGCAGTTTATACCTGCAAGCTGTCAGACAGAGAACATCCCCTCTACCTGCGCTTGGTGGCAGGCCCCAAAACAGAAATGCTCAGCTTTGTTCTGCGCGAGCATGAAACTGGAGAAGTCATGGTAGGTCACACCCTGCTGGGCCCGTGTTTGTGTAACCTCGTGGGTGAGTGGGCTTCTGTTTGAGCTGTGCTGACCGGGCAGACCATTTTCTTGAAGCAGACTTGTTTCCCCTGTTAATTTCCTTTGTGCCTTTTGTAAACGTTTCATTTGTGATTAGACTGACCTGTTGTTACTTGCAGAAGAAAAAAACTAATTGAAAGAGTAAAATATTTTCAGATGCCCTAAGATTTATGAGGAAGATGCCTGATACTGTTTCAGTTGGAAATTGCCTACAGTGTCTGAGGTTTTGTTTGGAAATACTGCATGTATAAAAGATGTATGAATTTTCTGTTGACCTCATCCATTCTTTGCACTCTCTGTCTTTGCAGTGGGAAGCTTTTAGTATTCCTGAACTGCAAAACTTCTTGCGCATACTGGACAAAGAGGAAAGTGACCAACTGCAGCTCTTGAAGAACCGCTATGCAGCTTACAGGGGCAAGCTTGAAGAAGCCCTTCGGGGGGTGCTGAAGCCTGGCTAAAAGGGGCCAAAGGACACTCAGGAAAAGTGCTACCAAACGTCATAGAGCATGCCAAACCCAAGTACAAAGAGCAGCAGAGAGTCGTTCTCTTTATTCAGAAGACTGTTTTGTGATGCCAGGGTAGACTTAGTTCCATAAGCCAGGTCACTTAGCATCTTGCACCCACAAGTAAGGGATTCTGCATGTTTGTACATCAGTTTGCAACCCTCTGTGTGCCTAGAGAGTTTCCCAAGTTATCTTGGTGCAAGCTGTGAAACTGTAAGCAATTTCCTAGGATGCTATGAAATACCTTTTTTTTCTCTTCTTTGCTTAATGGTATCTTTACAAGTAAGGATGTGCAAATTGATGGGTTAAAAAAATATTATAAAGCCATTTGGATGAGAATTAGAGCACTATGTCAGAGATGAAATTGATTTGCACTACCTTTCTGTTTTTGAATAGTTACTGTAAAATTTGTGAGAGAACTGTTATAGGTGGAGAGCTTATGAGATCCTGTGGTTTGTACTGTGAAATTGTGGAAAGCTTTTAAGTGGTCTTTGGGAAGAAAGTAAAGAGAAGGTTGAAAAGAAGGTGAGAGTTGGGGGAGAAGAACTCTAATAGCTGACAGGAGGTTTTAAATGAAAATAGTATTTACACAGAGGAAAGTTGAAATACTAATTCTACAAGGTTAAAGTTTCAGTATGTTTTAATATTGTGAATAAGTTTTATGGTTTTAACTGTGTAAATCCACACTGGAAAAGAAATAAAGAAATAGAAATAGTGGGAAGGAACGAGAAGCAAAAGCTAAGTAAGAATGGAAATGGAGCTGCACATACAGGTCCCTTTTGGAGAAGCTGATTCCATAAAGGCATAGTCAGGGTTTGAAAAGTGTGGCAAACCTGAAAAGCTGCTTACTTGAATTCTGAAAAGTGGTCCATGTCTCAGATAACTCTGTGAGAAATACCTGTCTAGCGAGGGTGCTGACATAAGCTACAACTACAGATGCATTTGATTTTTATTGTAAGTCAGGTCTTTCCTCTGGCCCAGTGATCCATTTTTAGGCTGGATAATCTTGAATTACCATATCTGAAAGACAGAAAGAGCTTCCTCTGCTTCTTTCTTTGTTAAAAGCTCAGTCAGGCAAAGAAAGTAGAATTTCTTATTCACATTTCCAGCCCAGCAGAACGTTAACATTTGTTGTCTGTTTTGGTGACTGAGCTTAGTAACTCTTGCTTTTAATAATTCAAAACTTTTTTTCCTTTATGGTTTTTAAACTCTTAATTGAAAAACTGATTACCAAATTCTGCGGACTGCTGATTTACTTGATTTAAAAGTAGGAAAAATGTAGCAAGAAAACTTTTTACTTTAGTGTAAATATAGTTGTTGTTCTTTCAGAGTTATTTATCTAAAAAAAAGCATGTTCAAAAGAAACCAAAGAAGTGGGTGTGCAATAGAAGCATGGAAGCATGAGGCAGATTTGAGTGACTGATATTGTAGTCATCATCATGCCAGAGAGGAAATGAGTTATGTACTGGGGGGTGGGGGAGTGGAGGAGTGCTAAGGATTGAAGAGCAGCAGAAGTTGTGGTGGGGTTTTTTTCCCCTCTGTTCTTAATGTGTTCATTTTAAATTCCCAAGGAATTGTTAAAACTTTGGTGACATCTAATGGATACTCTGTGAAACTCCAAGATGCTTCTCTTCTTCCCCTTAATTTTATGTAATTGTGCCTTTGTTTTCTTTACTTAGTAAGATTCTTTTTAAAACTCTTCACAAGGTTTTTAGGTAAAAAGAATTTGCAAGCTTATGAGACAATCATAATGTTTTAAAGAGTTAAGAGAAATTAAGAGTAGGACTAACTATAAAATATATCTAAGGCATATCTTGTTTGTTTTTTTAATTTCACATGTAACATTGTAGTGCATGTGTGAGTTAGTAACATTATCCTCAAGTGAGACACTTTATAATGGTTCAGGGAATGCTTTTGTGTTTTGTTACAATTTGTTTTTCTAGGAATGCAGCAGTGTGTTGGTGGGTATTCTGTTAACATCTTAATTTATGTTTCTGCCCATAGCTATGTAATCATTGCATAACCGCTGTCAATATTGAACCATTTGTTGCTCAGATTTAAACACTGTTTGAGTTTTAAAGTTGAGTATAGAAATATGTGAATTTTGGTTTTACTTGAACTAAACTATCGGTCTTTTTAAGTAGGCACATCTTCATTTACTTTAGCCAAAAACCTCAATCAGTGTTGTATGCACTATGAGTCTTGATTTGGGGTGAAGGGGAAGGGGGTGGGGGACCAAAATAAACTTTTATTTTAATTTTGTCTTAGTCCACAGTTAATTATTGTAAGATGTCATGTGTGGAGTTAATTTTCTTCTTTTTTGTTCTACACACTGGCAGTTACAGCAGCTTTAATTTAAAAGAAATGGTCATGCCTGGTCAGTTTTATCTTTTTTTAATTTTAGCATCAAATTGAACTGTCAGAGCTTTTTTGGCTAAACTGTTTTCTTGTCATTATATGATGGTACCAGAATGACTAAATGATGAGGGAGGGGGAATGCAGGGAAACATTAAAATATATGTCTTTAAATACAAACATTTAAACTATTTATAATTTTAACAAGCTTAGTTTTATTTTTGTAGGGAAGTTTTTATTCCCCTTAAAGTTATTACTGAAATGGCAAAAAAGTGATGGTTCCATTATTAAAGCTGAAGTTGGCAATACTTGGTTACGTGACGTGCGTTTGGTTTTTCCTTTCCCTGGCAATGTGTTGTGATCCTTTTGAGGCCAAGTGGATTTCTGTGAGTCCTGTGGGCAGACACAGCTGGCCTTTAGCCTGAAGTAAGGTTTGCCTGGGACAGAGGGAGGGAGCAGAGCTGAGGGCTGTGGGGCTCAGGGAGCTGACCCCTCCCTAGGGGGAGTGCAGTGGTGCTGGGTGGGACAGCCCATGGGTGAGTTGTTTCCTTTCTGTTGATAAACACCTTGCAGAAATGAGGCCAATACACCAAAACTGGAGGTGATACCCCAGCCCTCTCCCCAGGAACTGCTTTTTACTCCTTTCTATCTTTAATGGCTTTTTAGTGGTTTTCTTCAGTAACATCCATGTTTAATTTTCCAGTTACTTACTCTGTGTTTCAGAGAAGTGGTTTATTCTGCCCTGATTTAATTGGTAGAAGGGAGCTGCTGAGCTGTTTGCTTTGATCTCTGTGGCACTTCCCTGGGCACCCTGGCCCTGCAGCAGTGCAGTGCTCAGGCAGGGCCTTCAAGGCTGGTTTATGTGAGACCTCATCACGATTTGGTGTGTGCAACAACCCCATTGCAATTGTGTGTGCACTTGGCAAGGCCTGCAAATGGCAAGTGCTTCAGCACTCTGCCAGGGTGGGATGGATAAAAGCCCTGAAGATACTGGGGTCAGCAAAGCTGCTGACCACACAAGTCACTGGGCTCTGCCTGTGGCAGAGTTAGCTTCCACCAGCAATACAACTCAGCAGAAGAAACCTGGTGTGCTTTGGCTGGATCAGGGCAGAATCATCCATCTGGAGACTGAGAGTTCAGTGTGGGGGCAGAGCAGGAGAGCAGCACCGTCTGTGGAAGCAGTTGGGCCACTCCTCTCCATGGCAGGGATCAGCAAGTTGCCAGTCTGCTCTGGATTCCTGCAGGCTGAAGTTTTAGCGCTGAAATTTTTGAACATTTGCAACAAACGCCACCAGACTCCATTCCCTTCCTCCCCTCTTCCTTTATGTGTGTGAGTATAGAGCAGTTTTCTTTCCTTCCCAGGTTCCCAGCATGGGGATTTCCAGCTGCAGTCCTTGCAAATCTTGTCAGCATTCACTTTTTACCATCTCCCATTGATTTGGAACCATTCAGGTACGTTTTCCTCCTTCATTTTAATGTTCAATGGCATGCTTGTGTTTGTTGGGAAAGAACTGTGCTTTCAAAACTTTCCCTACACTTTTCATCTTGCAGGAGCATATAAATTACACTATTTAAGTTCATGTGCAGAAAAAAAACAGTTCCCCCTATAAAACTGCAAAATAGAAACACTTTTTTTAATAAATGAGTTTTGAGCAAAACAATGCTGACTAGTGCAGTATTCATACATTCCCAGATGGAGATTTGTTAGTATACCTCAGACTAATGATAAGGAATAAAACTGCCAAGGATTATGGCAATTTTGTGTTTGTATTTGTTTCAGAAAATAAATACTCATAAAAGTCTATATACTCTTAGCTTGGACTTGAAAGCTCCACAGAATCCTTAATTTCGTCTGAAGTACCAGTTTTAACAAATTGTTTTTTAAAAAAAAAGTTAATGCCATGCTACTAGTATCTGAAATAAAGTCCTATTACTTCAACTAACTTTCTAGTCCAGTGTTGTCTTGTTTCTTACATGTACTTAATAATTATTTAGTGCCATTTTGAGACTTCACCTCTTGCCTTTGTTGGATCAAGTGAATAAAAAGCTGCAGGTGATCCTTACAGTTCAACTGAGACGTTCAGAGTCTCTTACTCCTGATGATGAAGGCAAGTGGATGACTTCCAGATGGGTAAAGTTATGCATCTGCTACATCTGCTTGGTCAAGAAGCGAGGACTATGTTGAAAATTCAAGCCAGGTAAGAGGAGACACAGTCTGCTCTCCTGTTTAGAACACAGGTTTAGTGCTGTGACCTGAGGACTTACCTGGTCTGGGGGAATTATTTTCCTCTGGCTGTGTGAGTGGGTAACAGAGATTGCTGCAGGAGCCAGTATGAGCAGTGGGCAATGCCCGGCTCAGAGCGGTTTGAGCCAAGCACTTCAGACACGGAGCCTGGCTGCTGGCACTCGTTCTGTGCTGTTTTTCAAGGAAATACTGCAGAGGCCAGGACATGTTTGTCTGAAAAGCACCTTCCTGTGCTACGTGCTAGCAAGGTGAGAGGTAATTCCAGAGTGTTCTTGTTTGCCTTTGTGCAAGCTGAAATTAGAAGTGCTTTCAGTTGCAGCAGCATAGGCCTGACAGGCACCCAGCCCAACACCCTGCACTGAGGCACCCAGAAGTAGCAATTGGCTTCTCAAGCTGCTTCCTTCCTGCTTTCCTCAAAGGTGGTTTTTAAAAACTGTCTTTTTACTGCACTTTCTGTTCTCTACCTCTCCCTCTACAACTTTTGGAAAGGGCAGTGTTCACAACTGGAATTTTGAAGGTTTTTTTAAAATCCAAGGATTATTCCTGCAATTGCCATATCAAACATTTTATGATGCTGTGTAAAGCACTAACTTGGTGCTGTCTTTTCTTGTGTTCATTTTCCATATGAATAAGGATATTACAGATAAGGTAGTTCTGTTTTGCCTTCACTTTACCATGAATACCAATGAGAGAAGTAGAGTGCAAAACTCCCTTCACTAACTGTAAACCTAAATATAGCATTGTGGCCTTGCACATAGAATGAGAGAAAATAGCATTACAAGTCTAAGATTTCTCTTTAAATACAGAATCTGGAATGTGATCAGAAATTTCAGCTGTTTCCAGCATGTCTCAGGAGGAATTAGAATGGCAGTAGATTTTATGACACCAAAGTTCAGCCTCTTGGGTTTTTTTCCCAGGCAAAGCTGTATTAGAACACTGGCTCTGAAGCTCTCCCTTCAGTTAAACAGGTGCTTTCTGTATGCCAGTAATCCTAGACAGTTCTTTTAATCTAGACTTGTCAGATGATACTTCCAGAATCTGCCCTCTTTGCTCCTAACATTTTTCCATAGATGTGAGTGAGCAGATGTTAGACACTTTGTATTTTTATCTGCTCTGGTTTGTCAAATGAGCACTCACAGTCAGAACTTGTGGGTTTTCAGTAATACTGGTGCAGAAGGGCAGCATAACTTGTACAGAGTATCTTCCAACACCCGTTGCCAAGTCTCAGCACTCATTTTTTGAATGTAGGTCCATGTAGGTCACATGGATAGAACACAACATCTACCTTGGTTCAATCTATGTAAATAAAAGATGTATCAGAGGAAGATTTCAAGGAAGTTAACAGACTTAACACTACAAGTGTGTTGAACAGTAGGTCTAGGATAGGTCATGTGCATTGTGCTGCTTCAGAGCCTGGAGCAGCCCAAAGGCAGGAGGACACTCCTTTTGAAGGTGGGACTTAATTGCTGCTGGTGTTTTTTTCTTTAATACTCTGCAGAGAAGCTTTTGAAGTTACTATACCATTTCAAAAGACCTGAAATACTTTTGTGAGGTTTTTGCCTTGGTAATTTGAACACTTCAAAAGCAGAGGAGAAAAGTGACTAAGCAGGTATCTGGTAAAAAACGTTGCTAGCCCTGTAATGTCAGACTTACATGTTTTTGGTATTATTTTAAAACATCACAGCTAAGCAAAACCACAACACATGGGTTTTTTGTTTAGGATTTTCATGTTGTAAGAGAAGAGCTCTATGTTCTTGGTTTGGATCAGTTATTGTAATATTTTCCTTTCATCTACTGCCCATGTTAGTTAGCTGATAACAGAAGCTAACTTCTGTCCTGACAGAAGACTCAGGACCAAGGTAGCTGGTGCTTCCACTGATTCTCATCAACAGCATGAGAATATCCCCATGAATCTTTAGTCTCGTCCTTGATGCCTTTGCTCAACCCACAGGAATCTACAAAGTCATTCTTGCCAAGCAAGAGTCATGCAGCTGGCTGTTCCCTAGAACTTGCACAGGAAAAATGAGGAAGTGGGTGATTCAGTTGAGTTTTATCAAGTCCCTCTTATTCCTGTTTTTAGAAAATGGGCGGATTTCGGCAGCTGGAGTAAGTTCAAACAACTTCAACACCTTGAGAAAGCAGATTACTCTGAGATTTGTGAGCAAGTACTGGACCACAGCTCTAAACACAGGCTAGTAGATATTATCAAAATCCTGACAGCTGAATCTGACTACAGCAACATCTGGAAAGGAATAGATTAGCACTGCCCTTTCTTTCTAATCATGGAATTCCCTTGCTCCATCCCTTGAATGAAATATTAAGGCTGTGTATTTCTTTTTCTAAAACAGGTGATTTCCTTTAGCCTTGTAACAGCAATTTTCTTCACAAATGTGGCTTGTTCTTAGAAATTAATGACAAGAAGATGTGGCAAGCTTCCATGACTGATGGTAGTGTCACTTGGGCTGTCAGCGATGGGAATGTCTAATACAGAGCTGCCCTTTCTTGTGGTGTTACAGTAAACTATATAGTTTTCATAAGCTGGAACATCAAAAGAAAGCAAGCAATGTGCAGGCAGCCAATAAATATTTTTGTCTGCTTAATGGAATACTGCTACCTCCCTGCTGAAAGAGAAGTGAAACTGATACCACGTGGTTAAGCAGAAATACAAATAAAATGCAGAAATACATGTTTTAACAGCTTGTGAAAGTCTCAGACTTAAACAGGTTAAAGGTGTACCAAGTCACCACTTTCAACAGTTCAGGAAATGTATGTAGTATTTTTAAGCAGAATCATCCAACAAACTCAGCTCTGTAACAGGGAGTGAGGTGAAGAAGTAGCATGTATCTTACTGCTGGTCACAGTTCCCATTTTGGAAAAAGCCTCACATGGGATTTCACTCTTCCTCTTTCCTGGGGCAGAACATATTACTCTTAATTATGAACAGCAGTTTCTCCATTGTGCTCTCTGTTTTCCATCTCTTCAACTACACCAGTTTCCAAGGAAATGCAAGCAAGTACAGGTTCTATTTCACTTTGTTCCCTCACCTCAGGATTTCTTCCTGGTGTAAAGTAGTCAGGTGCTGTCCTGCTACACACTACTAAGATTCCCTGTGGCCATATGAAGTAGCCCATTATAGGCAGGAGGCAGTAAAGCAGAGGCTTTTAAGGGCTTATAAAATAGGAATTCAGCCATTACACACATGACACAGCTTATTCCTGTAGGAAAGTTTGACTCAAGCTCAGTAACAAAGATAGGAAGTTTGATAGGCAGTTTATTTTTTCTTTCTTCAAAAGTGCAGCAGTGAACAGGGTCCTCTGGAAGGGCACTTTCTAAACAGATGTTCAAAACAGCAGAAATATACTCGCAACATGCTACAGCAAAGTATGCTCACACACAGAGAGACATACAAAGATAATTCATTTTAATTGAATCACAATAATGACAGCTGTTTCATTATGTTCATATACTGCAATCAGCTTGATGAATAAGTCTCAAATTTAACTTGATTGCAAAGGTATTATACCTGCTTTGGGTGTGTGTTTCCATGTACATGTTCCTGCTACAGCTTCATTCCCCAGAATGAAGAAGCCCAGTTTTCTGGGCCCACGCTGGGTAAGCAGGTTCTGGCTGTATTCGCTTATGCTGAAGTGATGATAATGAATGTTGGTTTGATTTATGGCAGCATAAGGAAGTTATTAACTGTATTTCTCCCTGTATAGTATCTACTTTACCAGATCAGATCATTAAAAAAAATAACCACAGCTCTGCTTTTGATAATAATGATTTTTTTAAAAAGTAAAAAACATGATCACATTTTATTTAATCTCAACTCTGTACCAGTAAGGCCCTTTATTTAAAACTCTGTACGTTTAACATGAATGCCTTCCATGACCAGGTATAGATGCAGCCATGGTCAAATAACACATGAAAGGGAATATCCAGAAAGACCATTTAGTTTCCAAATAACTTAGTTGGGAATTAGATCTGGATAAGAGTCAAAGATCCTTCATAGTGGTTTTTTTAATTATCAAGGATAAGAATTAACACTGTTCATTTGTGGCTGTAAAAATACTCAGAATTAACTGCTTTATGGCAACAGACACAAGTGATAAACTGTTCTAAAAGCAATGGAAGGCAGGCAGCTCTTGGTTCCTGTTCTTCCTTTAACTACATGCTTAACAATTTTCAAGACTTTATCAGAAGTGGGAGTGAATCAAATATTCTCCTAACCCACTACATAAGGACTGATTAATTTAATTCTGAATTTCAGTTTACCAGAACATTTACTACCTAGGCCAGAATTCAGGTATAGTGTGGTTCTCTGACAGTGAGTGTGTTAAACTACTAAGCCTTGCAATTAAATGCTTTACAGGTATGTGCAGACAGCAAGAGTATTAATTTGGGTAAAACATCTGGTCACTCATACTGAATAATCTGCATCAATTCTGTCAGCTTCCATATTACTAATTAGGCAAAAAATAAATTAATTCAAAAGAACATGTCCTTGTTAGGGCTTAAAATCACTTTAAGAAAAGACTGTATTAGAGTTACATTTCTGTACTCATAAAAAAGTTTTTTTTCTAATAAGGAGCAACAAAATGCACATTACTTGCACTGAAACTTAAGCAGAAACTTGATGTAGGACCCAGATTTGATAGGACTGATGAGGGTTTAATGTGCAGCAGCCCATGTATTTCACACTGGCCTCCACAGAGCTACCAAAATGAAGTTTAAACAAAGAACAGGTCTGAATTGCTAGAATTCTCCAAGCAAAACACTACCTACATGAGCTCAGTAAGAAAACCCTTGGGAGCATGAAAACAGCTTTGGTTTGGTTTCTAGAGACAAAACAGTGGATAAAGGAAACTGATGGCCAATACTAAAGCTTGCAAAACAAAACGCAGGATAAAGCTACAGTTGTAGTTGAGAGAAAAAAAAGTCCTGAGTTTTTGAAAGCATGTAAGGAGTCTGACTATCCAAAACCCTCTGCATTTATACAGATGCCTCAGCTGAAACATTACCTTTCAAGCTTTTTTTTCTTCCAAATATTTGGTCACTTCTGAGGGATTTGAAACAAAAGTTCTGTAAAAATCAAACCTGTAGACCACCACAGAAGTTGGCAATTCTAAGCTACACTAAGGACTTCTGTGCCTCAGAACTAAAAGCCAAGAAAATTCAACTTATTTTATTGTAGCATTGCTTGTATCCAGTTGGTGGATCTGCACACTGGGGTATGCATCTTCACAGTTTTGAGTCATACTTTGTTGCCTACTTAATGATTATTTAAAATAATCATGCTCTCTACAGGGGAAAGAGATGTGAAATAACTGAACACTAAGTAGTTTTACTACAGTTTGTTTGATAAGGGAATGATTATCATGCCTGAAAGCAGAGTTGATTTGCCCACAAGCAACACAACTTGTCTTGCAGAAGATCCATAATTCAGTGTTTCCAGAGGGTGTTTTGCCAGTGAATCTATACAGAAGTTACATGGTAATGCAAGTTTATGTGTTTTTCCAAGATTTAGGAAGAAAATTGGGTGCACATGATGGCTGCATTTCAGATAAGCCTAATCAGAAGGCTGAAAAGACATCACCCTTTTGGAGGGAAACCAAGTGACTTCTGCCATGCAGACCTTTGGTGTGAAGGCCACTTTTTGAAGGTTCCAAGTAGTTAGGTCTCAATCAAAAAGCAACACTCTATGAAGCATTTAAACTGCCTAAAATAGCTCTTAGCCTAATGTCTAGTGAGCAATGATTCTATGATTTATTTTTACCTAGTTGCTTTCAAAATAATTTACCTTCAAGAATCTAATCAACATAAGAAGTTAGACAATTCAAGACATTTGGAGGTTAGAAACAGATCACCTCTACTGTGGTACCCTGGTTGTTGGATTTTGTTTATTTTAGTATTACTTCTGTTTGTGTATTAAAACAGACTGAAGAGTTAACTCAAAGCACAGGCACACTTACTTGAATTCTTGTTAGTATCAACAGTCTCTTAACTCACTAGGAAGTCAGTCTAAAACCCTAAAAGGTTTTTCAGTAGTACACAGTAACCCAGCCTAGCATTTAAAACCAGGAGACTGAAATTACATTCTTATTTGCAAGCTACCAAAGCTGTCCTACAAAATTCATTGGTCTCATCTCGAAGTGGTCTCATTGAAAGAGACTATTTAGTAGATGGATTTTAATTCTGTACAAGACACTTGCTACTCAGATCCTACACTTTTGACTAATGCCCTCCTACTCTCTTTTGGGCTAGGTTGCTATTGTCCGTAACAGCCTGGAGCTCAATACAGGAAACCTATAATTAAGCACAGATTTTAACAAGGTCTGTGACACTGAATATGGGTGAGCATTACTGTGCAATAGCACCAGCCTATCTAACCTGCCTCAAATACACATTTACTTATTTTTTAGAACAAAATAAACTGTTCAGATTCATAGACATAGGTTCACCTCTGTGCCTGTGATATGAAAAGGTAATTGAAAGACAAAGGTGGTAATCAACGATCTGAGCAAGACAGATTAGCTGTATCTAACAATTTACAGTTAGAGTTCAGCTGTAAAATATATATATTGCACAAGGCAACCAGCTAAAGACAAGGGGTTTCCTTCCAAACAGGGTTTGAAAAGCCCATTAGAAGTCTTCCAGCTGTAATCAGCGAAAGTTAACAGAGACAGACCTGCTGCAGTCACTGGAGGAACTGGTTTGTGGGAGCCCATTGCAAGAGGCCCTTCAGGGTTTTACAAGAACTGTGCAGAGAACCTCCGAGCCCGCAGGCCGTGATTGCTGAACATGAGCCGTGGGTCAAACCTGTACCTGCAGAGAGGAACAGAGTCGGTGTCAGCTGCTGGGCTTGCAGGGACCAGCACTTCCACAGGCCTTGGTGCTGGAAGAGCTCTGCTGCAAGGCTGTGGGAGAAGCTGCTTCCTCAGCAGTAGCAGCAGCACTATTACAACAGATAAACTGTAACAACATGCAACCAAAAGCCGAGTCTCCAAGGAAATAAATCCTAGCTACAATGTACGGGCAGCATAGGGGCATGTATGGCATCAAGCATTCAGGAGCTACATTCTAACAGAAAGCTTTGCTGTCCCAAATGACAAACTTATGCAGCACTTTAAGGACACTATAAGGACATTTTAAAGACTGCTTTAAAAAGCTTTGGTGCAAATGATCAGTGACTGAGTTTTGAGGCACAAATGCTATTTACTTCCAACAGGTAATACAGATAGGTCAGGTCCTGCAGGAAACATTCCTGCATACAGCATCTCCAGGAACAATCAGAGCTAGTACTTGGAAAATATCTCCCTACAGAAACAAGCAGAACTTTTCCTGGTTTGCAGACAAACCTGAGGTCAGTCTCTTGACTATTCAAAATAGCTGAAGTGTACAGTTGTGCTAAGTCAACAATGTCTGACAACATTAAAGTACTAGTATCAAATCATCAAAGTTATACATGGTAAGTTAAAATACAGATTAACCATTAAAAAATAGCAGCATCAAAAAAAATCTCTATTAAAAAGCCAGTATGTACATCACAAAAAAACCCCTATAAAGGCTGAATTTAAAAACTACATAGTTATATTTCAAAGTGTTACAGCAATGAAGTGTTACAGTGCTTACCCTGGATCAAAGACACCTGGTGTGCGGCAGGTTGCTCCTGAGCAGGACTGCAGCATCATTAGTCGATAGTTCATCTTCTCTAGAATTTCTTGATCAATTGTTTTAGCAATGTTATTGATCTGGTGTGGATCTGCAGTCAAGTTATACACTTCCACAAACACCTGTAGAAGAAAGTTCCTGCACTGTATTAAGTCCTGAATGCTAATTAACAGTCATATTATTTGGGAAGAATGCTTTATGGCAGCACAGTCTCAGATGTTAGTCTGAACTCTGCTGCAGCAGCCCCACACAAACTGTGTTCAGCCATGCAGCTGCCTAGTCAAAGACAGGACAGTGTGCAAGCAAAGTTTTGCTGTAGCACAGTTTTGTTGGAAAAGTTTTTACTTTCACCTGAAGTACTCACCTGCCACAGCAGATTCTTTTCCAACATTTTCTTATGACTGTAAGACTACAGTAAGAGGCCTTGCCTAAGCTGGCAGTCTTTTCACTAATGGATGTCAAAACAACTTTATTTCATGACCACCACATCAACATTCTATACTCATTAGCTACTTAGAGCTATCATACCCAGACAAGTGTCTTAACTTCTTCATGTACAAAACAGCTGAATACAAGAATGCTACAGCCTCAAACAGAAAAAGCTTATTCTGTGTGCATGTACTTTGAGTTTTGTCTGGAGGATTTTAGGGCAGACTTGTTTTTTGGTACATTAAATCTCTAGACACTTCTGTGGGACAAATACTAGTCAACAGTATCTCAAGAATTTAGCTGTGGCTTTGTCTGTGCTAGAGTAGGAGGCCTGACTGCAGATGATACTGATAAAAACTGGCTGAGTTGTGTCTAACTCTGACAAAGACATATCGGACAGACTTTGGCCTTTTTCTTACAAGGTTCACAGCAAGGTTATAGAAGCCACATTGTTGCACCTTTCCCATACTGTTGGTGTTATTCCACCTAGCTCAGGTATGCAGAGTGACCCAAAAATGCCACAGCCATACACTCTTAGTAGAAAAATCCCAAAGTGACATGAAGAGTATTACTGAGTCAACTTTGGAGACTACTTTTACAAAGAAATCCACGAGACTTGTTTAACTTGATCATCATTTGTCAGAAAGGGGAAA